TGAAAAGGGAGATAACAAAGAGAGAGAGACAGGAACAAAACCCAAGAAAGACAAGTGATGCACAATACAACTGCTCACCACCTGCTGACCAGTGCCCAGCCCGTTCCCAAGCAGCCATCGGCCCCTCCCGGCCAACTCCCCCAGTTTCTATACTGGCCGTGACGCCCTAATCTATGGTATGGAACATCCCTTTGGCTGGTTGGGGTCAGCTGTCCTGGCCGTGCTCCCTCCCAACCCCTTGTGACCCTCCTTGCTGGCAGAGCATGGGGAACTGGAAAATCCTTGACTTTGGGTAAGTGCTGCTCAGCGACAACTAAAACGTCAGTGTGTTACCAACACTATTCTCACGCTAAATCCAAACCACAGCACTGTGCCAGCTACTAGGAAGAAAATCAATTCTATCCCAGCCAAAACCAGGACAGTAGGTGAAGTGTCTGCCAACGCCACCATCCAGGTTTAAAAAGTAAAACTCTTTAGGTGCTTGGTTTGGTTTCATTCAGGAAAAATGAAGTAGTTAAATTCTTGTTTTAATTCTTTACAGGCTGGTTTATAAATGGTTTCTACTAATATACAAGATCAGCTATGCCACTGGAATCGTAGGGTACATGGCTGTGATGTTTACACTTTTTGGTCTTAACTTATTATTCAGGTGAGTGAATCTTTTGGGTCCCACTCCTGGGGCGGGGGATGTAACACACTGCGTGTTACAAGGTGTTCACTACGACTCTGGAAAAGTAGTTGTCTTAGCAATCTGATTAACGAGACCCAAGAGACTTTTGGGGTGTCCTCTTCCTGCTGGGAGGATCACAGGTGAGGTGCTGGTAACCGAACTGGTCAGGGTCGCTGGAGAGCCCTGCTTCCAGCTAAGCTTCCTCCGCAGCTCCTCCAGCTCTGCGAGTGTCCAGCCTGGGGGCAGCAGCGGGATTTTCTTTGCTACCCTGATAAAGAGGGACCTGTGACAAGCAGCCAGCCCAGGTGTGGGTGCAGAGGACGCAAGCCCAAGCCATCTTCATGTCCAGAGAGGCTGACTCCTTCTCTGGAATATGTGCAGACCTGGCAACTGCCTGCAGAGACGTGGAAGTGTTAACTGGGGGCTTACTGGGAGCTGATCTGGTGCATGAGATAGTTGGAGATCACTGAATTGCTCATTGCAGAGGCTGGTGAGGGCAATGGACACCAGGTGCTGGACAGCTGGGGTGTTACACCCACATCTCCGTTCAAATGCTCCTTGTTGACAGCTAAAGTGAAACGTCCCAGGAGCAGGGACTGGGCTTGTGCTGGCCAAGCACCTAGAAGATCTCTGCGGGTGATGCTTCCCAGTGAGGTGTGTCCGCTGCCTTGGTGGACCGCACTTGTGACAGAGTTAGTGCCGTGGGCTGTGCCAGCACACTGGCTTTGCACCCCTACAGACCACCCCAAAAAGCTCTTGATGTCATTTGGGCTCTTCTGTTGTAGAATCAAACCAGAAGACGCGATGGACTTTGGCATCTCCCTCCTCTTCTACGGTCTTTACTACGGGGTGCTGGAGCGGGACTTTGCCGAGATGTGTGCGGATTACATGGCCTCGACGATCGGGGTGAGTTAACACTGTGCTGTCCCCCCAGGTGAGAGTCCTGCCCTGTTACGGGGGTGCCTGAAATGTGTTCAGTCGCAGCAGTAGCTTTTGCCTCCCCCAAACGTGAAAGTGCATCAAACTCCCTCCTTGAGGAGGGGCTCCCTGAGGCTGCTGCCTTTCTCACTGCGCTCTCTCTGGGCCCGCTACCACAGTGTCTGAGCTGGAAGGTTTCTGACATAACAGAGTTTCTCTGAGATTCTTCGTTAAGAGCAAAGCCCCTGCGGGTGTCCCCTCATCCCCAGCAGCACGAGAAATGAGGAGTAGAAGGGTCTGTTCAGCCCCTCCCGACTCCTGACAGATATTTCTCTGCCTGGACCTTTAAAATCTCCACTGCTGAAGAGTGCTCCTGTCTCTGGGACCATGCTGCGGGTGCATTAACTCATGATCTGCAGCCACCAGGGAAGGATTCACACCGCGGGCTCCCTCCTGCTGCTCGTACCCACTGCAGCTTCTGTTCTCCCTGTGGACAGAGGGCTTGGTCCTGCGTCCCTGCAGTGGTGGCCTAAAATCTGTAGCCTGTTACCTGTTACCAAAAAAAACCCACTCCACCAAAAAATACGTGACCTAGGACCCCGGTGGGGTAGGTCACATTGCTTCTTTGCGTAGCTTTTTAGGGTCTTGGACTTTGTTTCCTTCTCCTCTTCCTCTCTGAGCTTTCTGCTGCTGCTCCTTGGAGGTTCTGCCTGGCAGGACTGGGGAGCCCCAGCCCCTCGCCGGCCACCTTCCGCTCACACTGGGACACCTCGGCAGAGCTTGGGTCTCACCCCGCATAGGTGGTGGGCGCCTAGGACAGGCCTGCAGCAGCCCAGGCGCTCCCCGAGGGTCTGGCCCGTGTCCAGGGCTGCCAGGAGGATGCTGCCACCAGCCGGCACTGCAGCCCGAGGGGTGCTCGGAGCGAAGCTCTGGCAGGTCTCTGCCCGAGGCATGTTCTGCTGATGATACGAAACTCGGAGGAGCTGTGGACTCCCTCGAGGGTAGAGGCCTTACAGAGAGGTCTGGATAGATGGGAGAGCTGGGCAGTCACCAGCTGCATGAAACTTAACGAGAGCAAGTCCCGGATTCTCCACCTGGGATGGGGTAATCCTGGGTATATGTAGAAATTGGGGGATGAGAGGCTGGAGAGCAACCCTGTGGAAAGAGATCTGGGGGTTTGGGTGGATGGCAAGTTGGACATGAGTCAGCAGTGTGTCCTGGCAGCAAAAAGGGCCAAACGTGTCCTGGGGTGCATCAAGCGGAGCACAGCGAGCTGGTCGAGGGAGGGGATTGTCCCACTCTGCACTGCACTGGTACAGCCCCACCTCGAGTACTGGGTGCAGTTTTGGGCACCTGAATATAAGGAGGACATGGAACTGTGAGAGTGTGTGCAGGGGAGGGTGACCAAGGTGGTGAAAGGTGTCGAGGGCAAGGCTTAGGAGGGGCAGCTGAGGTCAGCTGGTTTGTTCAGCCTGGAGAAGAGAAGGCTGAGGGGTGCCCTCATCACAGTCTATACCTTCCTCAAGGGGCAGCGCAGGTGGAGGTGCTGATCTCTTCTCTGGTGACCAGCGATAGGACACGAGGAGATGGAATGAAGCTGCATCAGGGGAAGTTCAGATTGGACATTAGGAAAAGGTTCTTCACGGAGAGGGTGGTTGGTCGCTGGAATAGGCTCCCCAGGGAAGTGGTCAAGGCACCAAGGCTGTCACAGCTCAAGGAGCATCTGGACAATGCTTTGAGTCATATGGTTTAGTGTTAGGTAGTCCTGTGAGGAGCAGGGAGTTGGACTCCGTGATCCTTATGGGTCCCTTCCAACTCGAGATGCTCTGTGATTCTATGTCTCCCAGCCTGGCCATGGGAGCCAGGACACAGCATGAGTGACCCGGAGCTCGTGGCTGTCCCTGGAGAGTGTGGGACCAGAGCTGTGCGCAGGGAGACCCTGTTGTGTGCCCACGCCCTCCTGCCTGCTGCGTCAGGCCAGTGCTGAGCCACCAGGCTTGGAAATGGTGGGGGGCGGCTGCTCCGCGCTTCGCTCTTCAGCTGTCTGGGCTTCAGGGACCTTCAGTAGCTCGGGCTGTATTCTACTGCCAGCCCAAGGTTGTCATCTTGGGTCAAAGCTGTGACCTCCAGCTTGTCCACCTCTTGCCCCCAGCCTCTGCCGTCGCTGCCCGGCGTGGGTGCACCAGCCCTGGCAGGCAGCTGACAGCTCACCGGGCCGTCGGGGAGTGAAGCGGGGTGGTCCCTGGCATGGGGAAGGGGTGCATGGGGCTGGCAGAGGGGCTGGGGCGTGATGGGCCACCATGTCACTTAATAGCTCCCTGTCCTGTTATAGTTGTTTGCTGCAGCCGGACCTGTAACAAGGTTTTTAAGCCCAAAAGGCTGAGGCTGGACTCCTCGGGTGCTGACCCCAGCCCTCCTTAAAGCTTAGCCGTGCCAAAGCAGGCATGGGACGCGTGCCCTCCCGCTGTCACCACTCTCCCTCTGCTCTGCCCTCGCTCAGTTCTACAGTGCCTCGGGGATGCCCACCAAGCACCTCTCCGACAGCGTCTGCGCAGTCTGCGGTC